TGGCTTGTCTCTATAGGGTATACGTCTTTCAACAAACATTTTATCCAACTGACTGTTACTGAATGACTGTTGCGTTCCTGCCTCTATATGAAAAGAGGGCTACACAGGGAATCTGGACTGGTGCTTTCCCTTAAGAAGTTCATATTCTGGGCCTGGTGGCACAGGGATTAAAGACAGTTCTATCAAGCTGTCACCAGCCACTGCAGCACGAGCTTGATCCCCAGCTGGCCAGGTAGCTACCGACATGGTGCAGCAGAACTTTCCTGTCTTGCCCGCTGCTCCCCTCAGATCAGTAGATCTGCTTGTTTTGCTCCCTACTCTGTCTCTGGTGAATCCTCTCACCCCTTCTCCATATTTCTGGCTTACACTCTAGTTCTTGCATGCATAAATTAATAAATCTTTAAAAAAAGTTCATATTCTTCCTGGGATTAGAAATTTCCTTTTACTTGTCCATCTTTCTTCTAGACTATGGGTGTTCTGAGGACAGGGATTCTTTTTAATTATCTTTTTACTTTCAGTGTTTAGCAACCATGTGGCATAGAAACCTGAGAAAGTGGGAAGCAATAGAAAAAACAAAGTAGGATAAATTAATTTATTCCACAGTTATTTCTAAGTGCCTAAAATATGCCAGAGCCTGATACAAAATTAATGGCATAGATTGTATACAGGCAAGCAGGTGTGTGTGTGTGTGTGTGTGCGTGTGTGTGCTTGCCTGCACATGTGCATGTGTGTGCTCATGCCTTTTTGGACACACACACTCATGAATGAAGACTGAGGAATTGCTCGTGTCTACAGAGCTCTAAGGACTAAGCAGAGGATGTCTCTTGAACTGCCTTCTGAACTCAAGTTTCTTTTTTTTAAGATTTATTTATTTATGCATACAAGAGCTGGGGTATAGGCCAGAGGTGTGGGGGGAGTGAGAGGATTCACCAGAGACAGAGTTGGGGACAGAACAGAGAGATTGACCGAAGTACACTGCTGAGGGGAGCAGCGGGCAAGACAGGAAAGGTCTGCTGCGCCATGTAGGTTGCTCCCTGACCGGCCGGGAATCGAACTCGTGCTGCAGTGGCTACGGATTGCTTCATAGGTTGCGTCTTAACCCTTGTGCCATCAGGGAAGCCCCTGAACTGAAGTTTTGAGAATCCAGAAGAGACCAGAGAAGGGACCTGTTTAGATGCCCAACTAAGCAAGTTCCAGAGGACTCTTCAATTTCTGCAAGCAGGTGATTTCTGCAAATGAGGGCTTGTCGGCATATGGTATTTGGATGATATAATTTCTTTAATTGAAAGTGTTATCTTAACCAGAGAGTTTTGCAAAACCCCAAAACAAAGACATCTGTTGCTGTTTTTGTTCTTTTTTCCCAGCAAACAATCTGGTGGTGAAAAATAGGAATGACTAAATGAAACGCCGGGGGAAATTGTGGATTTGAAAAACAAATCCCTATTTTTAAGGGGTTTGGTGGATTAATGAAGGTACAAGGTAGGCAGTTTCTGAACAGACATCTTGGGTCATTATAACTCTGATTTTTATATATCAGTAATTATTAAGACAACACCAGTGGGATGAGCTTGTGGCAAATTTAGTGCATTTCTCTGTTACCCGTGAAACTCAACTATTAGTTTTGTGACGCTGATATCTTGGCTAAACTTCCAGACCAGATCCTTTGAGCCAGTGGTCCCCTGGACAAATTCTCCTGATGTTCCATGTGTACCTCATCAGTCCACTGGACTTCTTCTGAATTCTCCATTTTGAGAAGTGCCCTACTATCCACCCAGTCCCCAGGGCCTTTCCTCTCTTAGAGACCCTGCACAAGCTGACATCAAGACCCAAAACTTCCTCCTTGGAAATATTCTCTACTCTGCTGCGTCATCTTCTACTTCTGCATTCCTCTCTTAGGTTACTGCAATGCTGTCTAGAGGTGTCTCTCTAGCCTTGACCTCTGTATCAGCCAGAGTCATGGCAGGTAGCAGAACTCACCTTACCTAGTTCAGACAAAGAGTTAATAATGAATGAATTACATAGGGAAGTGGGGGGCAGAGATCATAGAATGAACAAAGGATGCTGAGGCATCCAAAAGTTAGCAAAGTCTGAGGCTATTATCACCTCTAGGATAGAAGGGAAAGAGGAAGAAAGAAATATATCAAAGCCCAGTGAGATCTAGAACTATGGAGGAAGCATTGCCCAGTGGGACATACCAGAGGGGCTGTACAGAAGCAGGGAGAGAACAGGAAAAAAAATCACAGAATATTTCTTCCACACACCTCCCTCCTTTTCACTGGTGCTACCTGTTGAACCCAGGAGCCTGGGTGTTGTCATTAGGGACCAGCCCTTTCCAGGCACAGAGCAAGGTGGAGAAGGACTGAGAATGGATCTGCAGACATGGAAGAGGAGAACAGAGAATGGCCTGCCTCTCTTATCTGTTCTGTACTCCGGTAGTGAAGTGTTAGTTCTAAAACCCAAGTGGTATCTCTCCTTGGACTGAACCACTTTAGCACTTCAGATAAAAGCTCCTTGCTGGCATTGAGTCTTCCTTTTCACTCCTTCTGACCGTTCTAGTCACAAATCTCACCTCTCCTGATCCTTACTGACACCCCAGTTCTACTGCTTTACTTTCAGGCCCCTGAATATGCCATACTGTTCAAGATCTTCACGATTGGTCAATATGCCCTTCTTTCCCTGGAGTACCCTCTTTCCTGCCCTAACCTTCCCAGCACTATCTCCCTAGCCTAGCTTAGACATTACCTTCTCCAGGAAGCCTTCTCTAACCATCCCTCTCCCTAACTTTGAAGGAATCACTCCCTGAGCTGTCTTCATTATAAATATTTTTATTTTTTCACCATTGACACACTTTGTGAATTGCACTGAGCTAGTCTGTATCCACAGGCAGCCTGGCAGGTCCTTGATGGTAAAGACTGTGTATTATATGCACTTTGGCATCCCAAGTGATTATCATAGTGTCCGGAACATTAGATCCATTCAGTAAACATTTAAAAAGAAGGACAGAAGGGAGGGAGAGAGAAAGGGAGGGGGAAAGGAAGGCAGGCAGGCATTCCAACCATTCAAAGAATTTCAAATGCCTTGCCCCATCTGACCTTTATAAGCAGTGTAGGTGCCAGGGTAGGGATGGTACCTGGGATAAGCACACTGAGTATTGGAAAGGATGGGAGGAGACTGGGGGAAAGAGCAGGGAGAGCAGCACGGTTGGAAATCAGTGGATCGGATTTGAGTTCCATGTCTTTAACATGGGCTATGAGTTCTTTTGCTGAGCTTACTAGGGACCTCTCTGAGCCTTTGCTTTATCTCTGCAAATTGGAAGTAATAATAATACTAAACCTCCCAGAGTTGTGGGTGAGACAGTGTGAAGATGTTTCATATACTATCAGGACAATTAGGACCACTTTTCAGCATACTCTGTTTTCAGTAATTCTGATTGATTGATTGATTGATTGACATCTCCTTCCCTGCCCCCACCAGCTGTCCTATCTTATATGTCCAAACTAACAGGAAAAAAACTGAGGAAATTTTTCTCACAGTGAGAAAGTTGTTTCATAGAATCTTAAAATTGTAAATGCAAGTCTAGAAGATACCTAGAGCCCCCTAGATCAATCTTTGTTCTGATGCTAGGGCCACCTTGACAAGTGAACGCAGGCTTCCCACAACAGTGCCAGCTCACTCCAGCCCAGCCAGCCCCATCCATCTTTGGAAAACTGACTGTCAGAAACTTCCTCCTGTAGAAATCTTTGCTTCTGTATAATTTTTCATACTGACTGTGGTTCTAGGTTTTAGGACCACACAGAAAAAACTTATGCTCCATGTTACAGTACAGTTCCACTGAAATGGAAGCAGCTCTATTGTCCTATGAACTGTTTCTCTTTCAAGACAAGCATCTCTTGACTTTCAGATGTTCAGGATGGAAACTTTAAGACTTTTTGTTACTCAGAGAGTTTCATCAGAACTTTTCTTTCTGCTGATACTCTTGATTCAGACCTGTAAAAAACGACTCAATTGTCTTTTAAGATGCTGACACTATATCAAGTCATCATCCATCTAAAATCCATGTAATCACAAGCTAAGGAGGGTCTCCTGTGTCCAGAGAGGGAGGTTGCAGCTCAGAGAGGTGAGCATCCCTTGCCCTAATTCATGTAGATGGTAAATGGCACAAGGATTCTACCCAGCCCTGTTTGACTCAGAGGCCCTGTGATTTCTACTGCCAGTACCTTCTCTTGCTCCATTCAAGCTATGGAAAGAAAGAACAAAGGGGTGCATTGGACAGTCTTACCCACAAAACACTAGTCTCCTCAAGGAAGAGATGCTGTTCAGCTGTGTCTTGCTGATTCCTAATCTTCAGTAGTACCTTCTACATAGGAAGCTCTTGAAAGAATTATGTTTTTGTCATTATCATTATTCAGTGCTTTACAAAACTTGCCAAATGATTGATTTTCCATGTCATTCTGAGATTTCCAGTAACAAAAGGTTTTTGAATTATGTAGACTAGTGCAAAGTATGATGACACAAATTGTGATCTGTGAACTGGTGTTGGTATATAGACTGTTAGGAGTTTGTGCTGAAATATGAGAGTGAATTGAGATAGAATGATGAGAAAATTTATAGCAATTTGACATCACCATGGCATCCAATTATGTGATTTGTACTTTATTGATGTATCAGTATGGCCACAGATTGAGGGAAAAAAAAAATAACTTGATCCTTCACCATAGATACTGAGAAGCAGTGATGCCGACTGTTCGCCTGATGATTCATTCTACTTCATTTGTAGGAATATTTGAATTTCACTTGGACAGTCGAATCAATTCAGCTCAGTTTGGCAATATACCAGTCACACCTTTGGTATGGCCCTTGGCCAAAGGTTGTGGGGGACAGCACGGATGAGCAAGACATCAGTTCTTCCCACAGCTCAACAGAAAGCACAGAGTAGAGGCTTAGTTCATGTTATTGAGATTGAGTTGGTCTGACTTGACTTTAAATTTGCACTTCTGCAGACTACCAAATGGACCATATCTGCAGGGATACTTAAAACTGGCCAAGAAACTTGAACATGTGGTCTACGCTTGTAGATTGGAAGCAAAGTGAAGGTAAGGACTTCCAGCATTTTCTTTGCACTCAAGCTCAAAGACATACTTTTTCTTTCAAATATAATTTTTCAGAAATCAATATGGATCTGACAATAGATATGTGCAGATGTGTGTAATCTTACTTTCTCTTTCCCTTCTTCAACCTAAAAGTTATTAAATCAGCAGTGGGTCTTAAAATTAATGGCATCTTAGAATTTAAAAAAAACTGCAATTTTATGATTCTAAATTGCTTTTAGCATACTGTTGAACACATATAGAATGCTGTATAAATATTCCGTGGTTGATTTATTAGCATTCGTTTTTAGAAAGATCATCTGGCATCACCCAGGGTGGAATATTGTGTAGAAATTAATGTCTTTGTGTCTCTAGTTGAAACAAACATTTGTTTGCTAATTTATCCCTAACAATAGTTCTTACCCTGTGGGTAGCTTTATTCCTGATTTCAGATGAGGAAACTTAGGCTTAAAGGGAGATGCTGTTGTTTGACCAAAGTCAACAACTGTCATTTGTTGAACTAAGAGTCCATGTTCTTTTCACTGCTGAATTGGTCATCTGTATGCCTTACAAAGTCCAATTCATAAGTCATTCTTTCAGGGAGACTTCTTTAATTTCTTTACCTAGATACTGGGGATCTTTTTTTTCCTATACCCACATTATACTATCTGTGTCAAGCTAATGACCTTAATGCCTTATATATTAAACTGTGATCTTTCATGCAAGTCTTGGTTTCCACTGTTAGATACCAGTTTCTTGGGAGGCAAGTAACTAAGAGACTGGCCTCTGTTTGGGGATGTTGGCAACTCTCCTTAGATCTGAAACTTTTCTTTGTGTCTATATTGTTCATCTGTGATATAAGATGGGAATTCTGGTCCCAACTAAAAATTCTACCAGTTTGCAAGTGTTGGAATTACTTACTTTGTAAATTGTATTTCGAAAGAAGTATATACCTATTATAGAAAAATAGAAAATTCAGATAACTAAGGAAAAATAAAATTTTGATTGGTACAAAATTTCTGTTGTATTTTATATATTAAAAACTACATTTATATCTACTGTATTGTTCCAGTCTCATAACAACCCTATAAAGTAGGTAACCTTATACTCATTTTCCGTAAAAGGAAATGGAAGCTGAGTCACCCTAGGCACCCACTTACAGCTAATAAGTGGCTGAGTCCAAAACTAAAACGCGATCATCCATTTCCCTATCGGTGCTACTTCTAATAATACAATAAATGCTATTGTGGCTACTTTTGTTATTTTCATAACACAGCTCTATCTGATGTAAACTCATTATGGCAATGTACTCCCTGTTGGCCAACAGGGATTTGTGTTTGATAGAAATCTGTTGTGGAGCTAGAGTTCCCCAGGTAATATCTCAGGTAGGTCATTATGATTATCAGGCATCCAGCAGACATTATCAATCATGTTTGCCCTGGAGGTAAACTGAACTACAAAGATGAAGTCACCCAAGAATGGAAAGGTCCTTTCCTTGACTACTAGACAGGATTCTTACCTTTCTCATGGGGTGATTAGAAAGGGCTTGAAGTAGGAGGCAAGTCACATATTTTCTTTTACCTGGTAGTGGATGACCCAAGTCAGGTCCTAGATGTGCTCAGTTTGATGCTGTCTTTGAACCATGAGTAAGATCATGCCCCACTGACCTGGAGGGTGGCTGGGCTGTCCAAAGCAGATGCATTACAGGTATCCAGTGTTTAGAGAGCACTTCTTACCTGTGGACTTCCACTGAACTCCTGGGTGCCCTTAGCTCCTGGTCCTCTCCTAACCTAGAATCACTTGCAAGGGGACCTGGTTTTTCCAAATGGTTCCCTGTTACTTGAGGTTCCCTTTGGTGGAGCCAAACCAACTGGATTAAATGCTTTTTTAGGCAGCTAAATTTAGAGCTCAGGGGAGCTTGTTCCTTTCCTGTGTCTGTTGAGTTCAGCTGTGTGATGAGGAACACTCAATTTCATCCTCTAAAGCCTTCTTCTTTTTTTTTTTTTTAAAGATTTATTTATTTATACAAGAACTGGGGTACAGGCCAGAGGTGCTGGGGGTAAGAGGATTCACCAGAGACAGAGGGGAACAGAACAGGCAGACTGACTGAAATACACTGCTGAGGGGAGCAGCGGGTGAGACAGGAGAGGTCTGCCGCACCATGTGGGTATCTCCCTGGGCCAGCCGAAATTGAGTCCACACTGCAGAGGATACGGACAGCTTCACAGCGCTGTGCTCAACTGCCTGTGCTACCAGGGAGGTCCGTCCTCTAAATCCTTATAAGGTTGCTTTCTCTGCGTAGTTTCCCTTGGTTTAGTTTCCCTAGGTAGACTTTCACGTTCTATACTACTTCTTTCTTTATTGTTTTAATTTTACTTATCTCATGGTATTATAGAACTTGCTAACTAGGTAGTCTTTACCAATAAAACATTTGCTCCTAAGGCCAGGAACTGTGGAATCCCAGGGCCTAGCAGGGGATCCTGTACAGAACTGGAGTTTGGTTATTTATTGCTTAATAATAAATCATGGAATGACTTGGCACCAGGAGAACTTAGATGGCAATTCACCAGCTGTGTGAATTGGCCACATCAGAACTTACCTGGTTATGACTTTACGCTCAGGTAAAATGGACAAAACAGTGATAGTCAAAAGAGGAGAACTGCTGTGAAATTCGAAAGTTATATGATACAAAGTAATTTGTTATAGATCAGCAACATATAGTGACCCAGCACCATGAAATTGGCACAGTTCTAGGCAATTCAGTGGAGTAGGAAGTGAGTCTTGCAGTGACAGCCTGAGGGTGTGATTATCTATGTCTTTACATAGGCACAATGTCTTTTTATTTTTTTAAAGATTTATTTTTATTTATTAATGCATACAAGAACTGTGGTACAGGCCAGAGGTGTGGGGGGAGGGGTGAGAGGATTCACCAGAGACAGAGTGGGGAACAGAACAGGCAGACTGACTGATGGGAGCTCTGCTGATCGGAGCAGCGGGAAAGTCAGGAGAGGGGTGCCACGTGGGTGGCTCCCTGGCCAGGGATGGGCAGTGGCTGCGGACAGCTTCATGGGTTGCGTCTTAACCCTTGCGCCACCAGGGAGGCCCCAAGGCACAATGTCTTAACATTGATGAAAATATAGGAGTGAGGAGAGTGATTGTCAATGATGAACTCAGAACAGAAAAGTCTGTTCATCAGTCTTATACACGAGGACTCTTGACAATGCCCACACCGAGGTTTCCTCCAGTTCCTATCTCCCCACGATGGGAAATTACACCAAGGTCGGTGCAATCTCTGCAGTACTACAACCACAACCATGTTTCTTTAATGCTCTGCTGCCAAAATCTGCAAATTTTCTATAATTCTGAATAAGGAACCCAACATTACCATTTTGCACTAAATCCCACAAATTAAGTAACCGGCCCTACAAGTAATTTCCAGAGGAGGTTGCGGTCCTCTTTGGATGAGGCTGATGGCCATGATGTTTTTCTACTTAAATCCAACTGGGGAAATTCAGCTCCATTAGAGAAAACTGTACACTCATTTGTTCATTCATTCAGTGTGTATCTACTGAAGACCTTCTATGGTGCAGGCACAGGAGAAAGTATATACAAGGCTGAGTCGTGCTCTCTTGCTGTAAAGGTCAAAGAAGGAAGACAAACAAGTAATGAGGTGGCTGCTGTCGTGTTGGAGGCTTGGTGTTCAGTGGAAGCACAGAGGGATGGCTAGCTTCAGGGAGCAGGGGAAGATCTCCTGGGGCTATGCTTGACCATCTGCATTTCATAGGAGTCAGCTGCTGCGAGGATGTAGAAATTAAAATGCAGATAATACAGATTGAAATGAAGATGACTTGCCTCTAGCGGTAAGAAGCTTCAGTCTTCTAGTTGCAGGAGGAGACTTCATCATTCAGGTCAGATAGGTCAACAAACTTTCAGAGCTCCTGTTATGCAAATGCTCACGTGGAATTTAAATGACAAGTCTGATAAGGGATCCATTCTAAGAGTATAATTAAGTGCTAAATGCAGGGAAGCAGATCATATGTGATTGGACTTTTTTTTCACCCAGAGCTACTTGATTGCTTGGAAGATCTAGCTAGTGCCAGAGAGTCTATTCATGAGCTTCAATCCCAGGTCAGATCAACAATTTTAGGGCAACAGGCTGATTCCCCACCGCTGCACCAAGCTGATCTTCCCCCTTATACTTACTTCTGTTGTTTTACAAGTCACAATGTATGAACTGTATTTATTCCATCCAGTGTCCGTCTCTCCACGAGCCCTGAATCCCTTGTCCCTCCTGGCAATTAGTGGGAAGTTATTGAAAGCTTATTGAGTAGGGAAAGTTGCAAAGGGTTTTACAAACACATGGCAATCCCGATTTTTATGCATTACAGAGTTCCAACTTCCTCCTCAATTAAAACAACAACTGTAATCATAAAAACCCATGACAACAACAAAAACATCATCCACAAAAGTAATTGCTAATATTGAATTAGATGAAGCTGAACTCTTTAAAACAATTAAACAGCTCTACGGGGAATTGTGGCAAGATTGGTCCTGGATCCCTGCATCAAGCCCCCGGCATGTGGAGAGGACCAGACTTAGTGCTGGCTGTAGACTGAACCAAAAATAAGAAAGTTAGGGACATAGCATTAGAATCTCCCAAAGTATTTAATAGAGTTGATAGACCTTTACTGAGCATTTAGTGTGAGCACAGACATGATGCCAGCGGGCTAAAAATTAGCATGTTTTGGTCTGCAAAGAGCTCACAATTGGTCAATGCCTTTATTGAGGACCTAGTGTGTGTCAGGCTCTTGCTCTTTCAGATGCATTTTTACATCTGCTTGATTTTACGATCCTAAAAACTTTTGCAAGAGAAGATGGTTATGAAAGGGGAGCCCCGTAGTAAATGTTAGGGGCAGTAACCTCTACTTTTGACCTTTATTTTTGCCCCTGTGGTACAGAGGAATCTTCTGGTTGCTCCAAGAAAAGGAAGTTGCAAGGGACTGCAG